GTGGCTGGGCGGGCTGCGGAGGCACCTGGGGCAATTGCTTTGGTGGCTGGGCAGGCTGCTGAGGCACCTGGGGCAACAGCGGCTGCTGTGGAGACATTTCAGTGGGTAGGTGTGGTACCATTGAAAACCACTGGGGGAACTGTGGTAATGACAGTGGAGGCCACTGGGGAACCTGTAGGAACTGCAGTGGAGGCCACTGAGGAACCAGTGGCTGGGGGGGCAGTTGCCCAGATGGGCCAGCATGTTCCTGGGGGGCCGGCCCCTCACCCACTGGAGGGTAGGCTGGGTCTTCATATGCCTAGAACCAAGGACATCATTTTATTTTCCATCCTTTCAGTTTTTCTTTAAATGAGAGAGGGGTAAAAAAAATAAAAATAAATTAAAAAAAAAACAAAACTTACCAGCTCCAGGGGGTGCTGTTGCATCATGGGGTGCATGTATGTTTGAGGGATATGTGGCTGCTGGGAGTTAGGCTTCTGAAACTGGGAAACCTGTGAGAGAACAAGTAGAACACATGTTCAACTGTCAGCTGTGGCCAAACCTGAGGTTGGACCCCGAGCCCAGGTGTGGACCAGGAGGACTTGCCTCATTTGCCCCTGGTGTCCCATTGTTCAGTAGAGCGCCACCTGGATTGTCAAAGTGGCCTGAAACCGATTCCCTCCCAGGATCATAGACAGAACCAACACTGTAAGCTGTAGAGACACTTGAATTAGAACACGTTCACAGCCCGGTCAATGGTCAAAGGTCAGTGGTCAAAGGTCAGGTACTGACACTCACCCTCTACACCGTGTCCACCTGTAACCAAGGACAACAGGAGCCACCTGGAAAAGACCTCCTCAAATAAGTACATGTGCTGACAACACCCTGAACCAGAGAAGAGAACATGTTTCACTGACCTCAGGAGGAAGAACATGGCTGGAGAACAGGGGCCTGGAGAACAGGGGCCTGGAGAACAGGGGTCCTGGAGAACAGGGGCCTGGAGAACAGGGGCCTGGAGAACAGGGGTCCTGGAGAACAGGGGCCTGGAGAACAGGGGTCCTGGAGAACAGGGGCCTGGAGAACAGGGGTCCTGGAGAACAGGGGCCTGGAGAACAGGGGTCCTGGAGAACAGGGGCCTGGAGAACAGGGGTCCTGGAGAACAGGGGCCTGGAGAACAGGGGTCCTGGAGAACAGGGGCCTGGAGAACAGGGGGCCTGGAGAACAGGGGCCTGGAGAACAGGGGGCCTGGAGAACAGGGGCCTGGAGAACAGGGGGCCTGGAGAACAGGGGCCTGGAGAACAGGGGGCCTGGAGAACAGGGGCCTGGAGAACAGGGGGCCTGGAGAACAGGGGCCTGGAGAACAGGGGGCCTGGAGCACACGGGCCTGGAGAACAGCAGGAGCAGCTCCTTCAGCTGGAGGTAGAACCTGTGAAGAGAACGAGAGCAGCGGTCGACTCCTCCTTATAACAGCCTGACTCAGGTGTCCACTAATTGGTCACAGGTGAGTGGTGAGTGGTTAACGGTGGGCGTGTCCAGTAAACAGGAGCTGGCCTTCATGGACTGACTGGGATTTGAACACAGCACACCTGCTGGACTGTCCTGGAAGTTCAGTGTTTTCCTATGAACAGGGAACTCCAGCTGTGACGTTGTTTAAACACATTTTCATTTTTCAACAGCAGTTTTTTTCTCTCTTTTTTTTCTTTTAGTCCTTTTTTGCCTTATTTGTATTTTTTCCTTTGTGTCATGTTTGCTTGTTTTTGCCATATGTTTTATTTGTTTGCTTTATTTTAGAAAAATCAGATTTTTGAAAAGGTCATAATCTGGATTTATATTGTAGAGGGAAAACGTCAGTATTTTGAGAATATGTAAGTCGTATTAATTTAATTAAATATTTTTACATACAGTTGGAAAATGGAAATATATCTTAGCATTCTCAGAACAAAAAGAATGTACTGACTCGTTTTTATCTTTTTGTCTCGTTCTGTGATGTCTACCATCGTTCTTTCAAGGTTCAATTTAAAATAAATAAATGTATCTTTTCAAATGCTGTGACGACGGTACTTCAGCTCTGTTTGTGTGTCAGATTAACAGCTCGTGGGCGGGACTGGTTCTGAGCCCCGGAGGCGGGACGTTGTTCCTCTCACTGGACCACAGAGCAGTGCTGTCACCGCAGGATGAAGCTGCTCCTGGTCGTCTCCGCACTGTTGGCGGCCTCCGCCTGCTTCATCTATCGGCCGGTGCCGAGTGGCGTGAGCGAGCCGTGGAAGCTGATGCTGCTGGACGCCTGTACCCGCTTCATGAGGACCTTGGTGAGGGAGCAGAGAAGTGAGACGAGGACAGTGAACGACAGTAAAACAAGGAAGTTAATAAGTGACCGTTATAACCGGTTGAGAAATGTTGACTTTTGTTGTTGTACCGAGACGTTAGTTCAGCTGCTCCGGGACACGGGGAATAAAACACCTGACAAGTATTTAATACTTTGGAGAATTCAAGAAAATGTTCATCTAAATCTCAACATTCACCCGGTGCTATACGTCTATGTGCAGGTTGTAAAACTCAGGCTCCACAGAAGAGGAGGTCAGCAGCGCCACCTGTCACCCACTGACAGCACTGTCATTTAATCTGTTTTTCCATGGTTCAAGGTCCAAGTAGATTTCATACAGACACGGTGTGACGTTGAAGTGCTGTTAAAAATAAATCAATAAATAAATCCACTCACTTTAATACTGTTCATTTAACAACTTGGTTTATATTTATGTTGTGGTTTCTCCTGTTTTTACAGTGACTCTTGACACCTTTCTGTTCCCAGGGTACCGTGGGTCACTGGCTGGGCCTGGGCTCTCTCGTCAACACCGTCTCCTCCAGGATGATGATGGCGGACGCTCGCTCTGACGCTGACGTCACGGTGGTGGACACCACACTGGGCGGGCTGCCCACCAGAGTGTTTGTGGCAAAGAGTGGGGAGAAGCTGAAGAGGGGAGTGTTGTATTTCCACGGAGGAGGTTGGGCCTACGGCAGCGGCCGGGAGTACAGGGACTCCCGCCGACTGCCGTGACCTTTGGTTTGACCTCAGACTCACTCACCTCTGACCTTTTGACAGGCTGGAAGTTTTACGACAGCCTGTTGCGCAGAGCAGCCAAAGATCTGGACGCCGTTGTCATGTCCGTCGAGTGAGTGTCGTGACAGCACACGTGCACGTTTTCAGACCCGTTCACAGAGTGACTCCAGCTGCTGTTCCTGTGCTGTCGTTGTCATAGTTACCGCCTGTATCCTGAGGCCGTGTTCCCAGCTCAGTACAACGATGCACTGGCGGCAGCGCGGGCCTTCCTGTCCCCTCAGGTGTTGGAGGACTACAGCATGGACCCAGGGCGGCTGGGCGTGTCCGGAGACAGCGCCGGGGGGAACCTGGCTGCTGCTGTGGCTCTGGAGGTCAACGAAACAAACACACGTGTGAAAAAAAATAAGTGTTTGACTGTTTTCATTCAGATCTAGTACAGTGACAACAAGTGGCCACCAGAGGCAGCAGTCACTGACGGCTGTGACTCTCTCCTCTCTTCACAGACCGGTTCTGACAACAGTCTCAGTGTGAAGTTTAAGGTCCAGGCCTTGATCTACCCGGTGCTGCAGGCTCTGGACTTCAACACGCCGTCTTATGTGCAGAACCAGAATGACTGCATCCTCTCCAGACCCAAGATGGTCCAGTTCTGGCTGTGGTACCTGGGTGGAGACCTGTCTCTGAAGCCCGTCCTGATCGCCAACAACCACAGCTCCGTGGAAGAACCGGCCGTCACCGCTGACATTCGCTCTCGAGTCGACTGGACCTCGCTGCTCCCGGCCCGAGTCACACAGAACTTCCAGCTGGTGGTGAAGGAGAAGGGAACGCCGGGGGTGGTGGACAAGCTGCCGGGGTTAATGGATGTCAGGGCGGCGCCCCTACTGGCGGAGTCCAGTGTCCTGAGCAGAGCGCCCAAGGCCTACGTGATGACGTGCGAGTTTGACGTGTTGAGGGACGACGGGCTCATGTACGTGAGGCGGCTGCAGGACGCTGGTGTCCCCGTGACCAGTGACTACCTGAAGGACGGTTTCCACGGCTGCATTTCCCTGTCATCCATCTTTAACCTGGGACAAAGGAGTGAAGACAGCTACGTCCACTGGCTCCAGCAGAACCTGTAGAGAAGAGTGTGAAGCTTTTAGATTCAGAACACTGTTGTTGTTGTTTGTTCTTTTGACCCGACCAATCACACACAACAAGGTACAAATCAGTCAATCATCAATAAATGAAACAAACTGTGAAATAAATAAATTACAATAAACAACAAACTCAGTCAGATCAACTCGTACTTACTGTGTGTTAGTAAAACCACATAATCCAGCTGTGTTGCAACACATGGCAAAAACCAGCAGAGGGCAGCAGATCAAGCGCATAGAATCAAGAACCTGCTTGGTGCTGACGTCACAGCAACATGGTACAAGACAAGGTGAACAGAGGAACCGAACCAAAGACTCTGTTCATGTGGATGAAAAGGAAACGTTACATTTATTAAGAAAAGACAAGGAATGAAATAAAGTAACAACATACACGTGGGTGAACTCCCACCCAGACACCCAGACACCCCCCCCACTTTATTCCCTGTCTTTTATTAATAAAAGTAACACACACAGTTTCTTTTTTACTTTTTTTCCCAACATGCAATTTGTCCACAAATCCTTCAGTGGAGAAAAATTCAAACCAGAGACGTGGGAGCAGTGGACAAGTTCTGTCCTGTCCTGTCCGCAGTCATCACAACATCTGCAGCGTCTTCTGCTCCAATAGGAAAAAAGATTCATTTTAGTGAAACTCCTGTTTTTCATAATGCTCTTGGTACCAGATGTTGTTACGACGATGCCTTCAAGGTCCAGTCTGGTGACGTGAGCCTCCGCCTCTCACCTGAGACCTAAGAACAACACAGGGGAAGACCTTACTGAGATCATCATCATCATCATCATCATCATCATCATCATCATCTTCATCCTCACTGGTGTCTGATTACAGAGCTGGTAGAAGAACATCCACAGAAGAATGTTAAGAATGAACAAAAAAAGATGTTTTTGTCCAGACAGGACACACACACACACACACACACACACATATCCATATACACACAAACATTGACAGAAAGACAGAAAAAGAAACACACACACACACACACACACACAGCCCTCCATTCCTGATCACATGGGAAACCCCTAAACTGACCAATGAAGAAACAACAGGAAACTTTCAGGGACTTCCCAGAATTTCTAAAATGATTCTGTCTCCTGTCGCTTATGTCAGATTTTTTATGTGTGTGTGTGTGTGTGTGTGTGTGTGTGTGTGTGTGTGTGTTCTACCCAGCTATCAGCTCCTGTGTCCAGATAACACTCTCTCAGACCATGACTGTTGACACAGTTTAAATCTAAACAAACCAACCAGCCCAGGTGTGGTCGGGGGGTCACTGAGGGGTCGGGGGGTCACTGAAGGGTCGGGGGGTAATATCAGAGGATCGTTTTAGACTGGACGTCCAACAGTCCGTGGTTCTGACTGAGATTCACGGCAGAAGAGAAGTTTGGAAACTGGACCACGGGAACTTGGAACAGAAGAGGAAGGACGGGGCAGTGGTGCAGCGGGGAGGTCAGGTGTTTGAAGACGCACCGACAGAAGAACAGTGGCATCAGAGAGACTGGTCTCAGAGTTAGGGCTGCTGCCTGACAGATGTTTATGTCTCCGCCCTGGTGGACACTCATGACGATGACTCATTTCATCTGCTCCCACACAGAGCTGAGGAGGGGATGAGAAAGATCCATCAGAAAAAGTCATTAGCACAGAGACGTTTGAGGAGGGACATCAGGACATCAGGACAACAGACACACGCGTCACGTGTCTGTCGTCCACAGAGACAGAGGCTCAGCTGCTGACAATCAGACGACGTCAGAGAGAACAGGCGATGAAACCGTGATCCAGGTTCAACACCGAGGACAGACGTCCACCTCCAGTCACCACGGGGACAAAGACACAGCCTCACCCCTGACGTCTCCTCCTGCTGCAGTAATCAGTGGCAGCTGTTCCTAATAATCTGAACGCGCTCTGCTCATTTTTTCTAATCTGACATTTCTGAGAAAATCCATACAAAAACCTCTTCATCAGCACCAGGACCGTGGAGCAGGAGGTGGAGCAGGAGGTGGAGGAGAGGCTGGGGAGCAGGAGGTGGAGCAGGGAGCAGGAGGTGGAGGATGGAGGAGCAGGAGGTGGAGGAGAGGCTGTGGAGCAGGAGGTGGAGCAGGAGGTGGAGCAGGAGGTGCTCAAACCGGCTGCACTCTCACCTCCCACCAGGGACACAGACACAGCACTGACTTATTTCTACGACAGATGTTCAGGTGGCCCTGAACAGAACCGGTCCAGATCAGGTTTTCTCCCCCCCAGCCTCCCCGGTCCCCCCTCCTCTGACCTTTGGTCTGTTATTTCAGTGGTGAACTCCCAGCCTTGGTCTGAACCAGTCTCAGTCTGCCACGGAAACAAGAACAATCATCAGAGAACTGCTGGAGACGTGTTGTTATTCAGCCATGAGATGAGAAGGTCAGTGAGGGTGGGGGGAGGACGGGGGGGGGGGGCCGGGGGGCTC